TTGTATTCCCAATCTACTTTCTCCCTACCCAACCAAAGTGATTCATTGCTGTCAGGGTATCATTCCTAACCTTAAAAACTAAGACCCTCACCCCCATCCCAGGGTGCTCCCTGGTGGCGCATCGGGTTAAAGCACAGCACTGAGAAGAAGCTAACGCCACTTCCACATGAGTTTGATCCCCACCTGTCTCGAAAGTGACCCACATGGTGCAGCAGACCCCTCCTGACCCACCCGCTGCTCCCCTCAGCAGAGTACTTCGTCGATCTGCCTATTCTGTTCTGCTCCACACTCTGTCTCTGGTGAATCCTCTCACCCCCCGCATCCCTGTATCCCAAATCTGTATGCATAAATAAATCAATCTTAAAAACAACAACAACAACAACAACTAAGCCCTCTGCCCCATTCCTTGCCCAACAGGCAAGTTTGGGAGCCTTAAATAAATAGAGTAGGTGGGACTGCCATGAGAACCTGGGCCCTAAGCAGATGGTCATTTATGCTAATTGTATCATGGTCAGAATGCAACCAAGACTATGACCCTAACCAATCAATGATGCCTGGAGTATAAACATAGCCTTGGGGCCTCTGGGTACAACAGGCCCCTCCTGTCTGTCCTGTAACTTTTCTTAAACTTGAATAACCCCCCCTTTTCTGCTCTCCACTTTGTCTCTGACAAATTCCTTCACTCCTGTACCTCCCACCTGCACTGATTCTCCCCCATAACAATTGCCCAAGGAAAAATCTGGACTCTGATAGTAGGAATGTATACGCAAATATTCAATACAGATTCCCAACAGCTTTTTGACAGTTTATGATTGAGATGAGAAGTAATCTTGAAAGTCTAGACTTCCGAGTTGTCAGAGAAGGCAGGTGATCAGATTTATACCCCAAACGGTAGGTTGGGACGAGGATGGAGAGGATTAGTGTAGCCTCCTCCTCCATAAGCAAGCTTTAAGATTAGGATCACCTGGGGTGGAGTGGTGGCCGGTCAGAGGGTGGGACCAGACCTAGAGGGATCACAGGGCCAGACCCACATTAATAGGACCAGAAATTTTGAGCAAGGCTTGGTGACCTGGTGTCTGTTGCCACCTTTGCTTGTTCAGGGACTCGTGTGAGCCATGCATCTCTGGGGACAAGACCTCTGAGGGGGTCTTGTCAGGCCCCTGTCTGTTTTGTCCAGCAGAAATGATACCTGGACAGACCAGAGTCTGCATACTCCACCTCACCTCTCACTGGGGTAATCTCTTCTGGCCCAGAGGGGTAGAGGTGATGTGGGAGGAAAGGTTTCCATCTCCGAACCTGGTCAACTGAACAGAGCAAGCCTGAGGTTCCATCCCGAGGGAAACAGTGGTGGCAAGCCCTGAATTTCCTGTGTATTGAAAATATCTTTATGGGCCCTCCCTGGTGGCGCAGCAGGTGAAAGTGCAGCACTAAGAAGCCAAAGCCCCTTTAGCATGAGTTCCATCCCCGCCCTGGAGCTGACCCACATGGCGTGGCAGACCTCTCCTGACCCGCCCGCTGCTCCCCTCAGCAGTGTACTTCATCAGTCAGCCTGTTCTGCTCCCCACTCTGTCTCTGGTGGGTCCTCTCACTGCCCCTGCACCTATGGCCTGTACCCCAGTTCTGTATGCACAAATAAATAAATCCTTTTAAAGAATTAAAATATCTTTAAAATAAAATAAACTACCTTGCTCTTTTAAAAAAAAGACCTGGCTGCCCCTGGGGGCTGCTTGGCACTGTCTGGGAAACACCCCCAGATCCCTCTAGGATTTCCTCTAACTCACCTCCCAGGAGTTTGTCAGGATGTCTGAAATTTACAAAAAAATAGGTCTATTGTGGGAAAATGCAGATATTTAAAAAGACAGAATGAATCTCTTATCCCATCACCCTGTCCATCAGTACTGTGAGCCATGTATTTCTGTGCAGTTTATGTATCGGTTATAATTCTAAAGTAGAATGGAGCCTCTTTGAGCGCAAAAATCACATCTTGTTCATTTCTTTAATCCCAGTATTTAGGGTAATACTCGATGTAGAAAAGGCCCTTGATAAATATTTGATAGCATAGTTTTTCAAAAACTGTCTCAAATCTGCCAGCAGGCAAGGAGAGGAAGAGCAAATAGCCTATATATATGTTCATTATCTTCGCATAGATGTACTTTAAGGATGGGCAAATTGTAAATTTCAGACATCCTGACAAACTCCTGGGAGGTGAGTTAGAGGAAATCCTAGAGGGATCTGGGGGTGTTTCCCAGACAGTGCCAAGCAGCCCCCAGGGGCAGCCAGGTCTTTCAGTAATCAAAGAATCCAATTCATTTTCTAAGCTCAACAAATCCCAGCTCTGGCTTCCTTCCTGGTGGACCTTATATATTCCTGGGGGTCTCTCTCCTTTTCCCTACCATCCCATCTCTACTGGCTCCTCCTTGCCCAAGAAGTCCACTCTGAAGTCTTCCCTGACCTCTGTCCATCATCTCTCTGCAGCACTGTCCTTAGCGCTTTCTCCCCGCAGCAGCCAGAGGGAGGTGTCAATTCCAGCTTCAAGTCTTTTCTTGGCGCCTCATCACCCAGTGTGGAGTCCAGTCTCCTTGGGCAAAAATTCAGGGTCTGACCTCAAGGTCAGGCTAGACCCCAGCTCCTCCCACCCCAAGTGTCTTCCCTCCCCTTCAGTTTCCTGGGTCCTCCTCCCACCACCCTGTCAGCTCACCCAATGGCTGGCACTCCACACCCCTCCCTGTCCTTGTCTCTGTGGGGAAGTCGCTGAAGGTAAGAGCAGGTCAGGGGCTGGGCTGAGCTGGACTGGGAATCCAGATCCTGTCTCTCCTAGCTCATCAGGGCAGGCAGCCTCAGGAGATATGGAGGTGGGAGGTGAACGTCTGCCTCTCCCTCCTCCTAGGACATCTGTCCTGGGGTGGGGTGGGGGTGGGAGAGATATGGAGGTATCCTGGCCCCACTCTCCACCCCTCCTTTTGAATCCCACTTCTGTACTTGGGATAGTTCTTAACTTGCCTATTCTGTGTGCCTGTGTTGCCACAATTCCTGGTGCCTAAGGCCAGGCCATCAATTCTGAGACTGGGTCGGAGGTGGCTGAAGGGACCAAACTTAAGAAAAATGGGCTTGTTAGAAGGCCATAACCTGCCCCCTGCTGGCTGGATTCAAGCTTCCAGCAAACTCTCCCTGGTCTTTGAATCTTGCCTTAATCTCTGTGATATTGAAATCTTAAGACCTCTGTGCTCAGTGTCCTGACCTGCTTCCTCCCCCAGGGTCCACTCTTTTCTGTTGTCCTCATATTTTGCCTTCACTCAATTTGCTCTGCTCACATTACCACCCACACCCCAGGGAGATCTGGCAAGGATAAGGACCCTGGCACGAGCAATGCTTAACCGAGTGGGAGGCTCCAGTAGGAGCCCCTTACCTGGCCATGCAGACAGATGCTCACCTTTTTTCATAAATAAGTCTCTTCAATTTGTTAAATCACAGAATGAAAATTCCAAAGAAAGACAGGTTGTAGACTGTTTCCCAAACAGGAGATGACACAGAGACAAGAAGGGAGCATGTGCCAATGTCCCAGACGGGGACCTCTTTCTCTCTCCACCCCTTGGCCGTGCGGTGCCCCCCCAGGCCGATCCTGGGGAGGGGAGGGGCCAGGCAATGTTTGCGGTGGTGGAGGCCATGTCTGCGCATGCTCCAGCAGGAAGGCTGAGCAGCAGAGGCCTTGGGTGGGGGTGTTTTCAAGATGAAGTTATTTCCCACAGTGAAGAGCAGCCATGTTCTGCACAGTCCATGGACAGCCTGGGATGTTTGCCCAGAGCCAGGAGAGAGTCTAAAAATGCCCCAGCCCATCTTAGGATCTCAGGAGGCTAACAGGAGTCAGCAAGTGCCCGAAATGAACCTGGCAGAGGGTGGAGTTCATTCCAGCCTCCCGGGTTCTGCATCCCACTGGGTGACGTCATGGTCATAGACTGGCTATTGGCCGGGGCCCCTCGAGGTCAGGCCTGGTTCTTTTCCATTTCTGTGTTTTCAGCACCTGCTATTGAATAGATCAGCTATTGAGTGAGTGCTAGAAATCCAAGTAGGTGTTGGGGGGCAGTAAAAGAGTAGAAAATCCAAGTAAGCCTTGGAAGACAGGACAAGTTTGAGACACACCAAGAGAGACCTCACATACATGAATAGGAATTGGAATTGAGCCCAAGATGGGCTACCTGGAGAAGAGAAGGGAACACAGGCGGTATGGGAGCGGCTCAGCGCCCACCGCTGTGTGCCTGTCCACTGTCCAGCCTGACTATCTGCTCCCTGATAACTCTTGACTTGGTGGTCAGTGAGGGGGCCCAGTGACCTGTCTCCTGCTGGGCCTCAGCCCTCCTGCCAGAACCAACCTTTCCTGCCTCAAGCCTGGCTAGGGGCCAGGAGTATGTACCTCTCTTTGCTCCTGCCTCAAAAAAGTCAGATCCCTCTGTGTGTACATGCTCACTGGGCACCCTCACTGTCCACCAAGTCAGGGAGCAGAGTACTCAGTTGACCAATAGAAGTCGAATATATGAAGTAATACTTGTGAACTGTGAAACATCATCCTAACATAAAATGTTGGTGTCCCCCAGGCCCCATTCCAGGGCTGGGTACAATGCAGATACCTAAACAGTGGTTCTCAACAAGGGTTGATTTAGACACCCCAGGGGACATAGCACAATATGTAGGGATGGTTTTGGTGGTCATAACCAGATCAGAGTTGCTATGGCCTCTGGTTGGTGCAGGCCAGAGACGCTAAACATCTTATAGAGCTCAGGAAAGACCTCGCTGCAAATTACCTGACCCCAAATGTTGACAGAGCTGAGGCTCAAAAGCCTTGCTAAACATGAATGAAAACACGAAATGTTATCTGTAGACACAGGAGTGGTTTGTTGTTGCAGAAAGACAACAGCTGTGGCTGGGGAATTGATCATCAAGATTCCATGGTGACCAAGAGCAGGACTTACCTAGGCTTAAATGAGATGGCCATGCCCAGGTTTGGTAAGTTGAAAACATTTTATTTCAATTCTATTTTGGGAGGCAGCATAAATAATCACAGAAGACCGCAAAGGTCTGTGGGGAAGAAAAAAAAAAAGGCTCAAGAAATATGGGGAGATGAGAGTTGACACTCTTCAGCTGGCCAAGAGAATGGAAAGTTCTTGGAGGAAAATCCCCAGGGGTGGGGGTCTTTTCCCTGCCCAGGGTTTTGAGAGCCCTGGGCTGTGTGGACTGAGGTTCTGTTGAATGGCCATGGGAAAGCGGGTGTGAAATATGTATCTAGCAGATCCTAGCTAATGAGAGGAGAGGGGACACACATTCCTGATCCCCAGGCCAGACCTCTCCCCCAAGCGGTGACTCTTCTAGGAAGAACAATGTTCATGGACTCTGTGTGGTCATGGGAAATGGAGGGCAAGAAGGAGGGAGAAAAGAAAAGGTGTAGAAGACAACATGACATGTGACACCCCAGAGTCCCATGACCTGGGGCCACTTTGAGTTCCTCACCTGCAAGATGAGAGAACTCCATCCTGCGTCCTGGGGTGGTGTGAAGCTCAGGGGAGCTCCTATGTGCCAAATGATCGTGTAAACTTTAAAGTGCGATCCGGGAGTGAAGGGTTTGGCCATTCTACAAGCATAAGGCCGAGTGTGGAGACAGCAGTGGGAGAGACTGGGAGCATCTCCAGAAGCAGGCAGCCCCTGCTCTGCCTTTCTCAGGGCCAAGCTCCACCCTCCTCAGCCTCAGCTTCCAGGAGCAAGAGGCCTCATCTCAGCTGGAGTTAGTCCCCTGCCAGGCAAGAGCAGAGGGTGGGGGCTGGAGGATGCAGGATGCCAGGTGTGAGGGCCTCCACGGGGCAGTATGGCATTGGCACTACTGGTGTGGCAGACGCCTCCTCTCCACAGCCCTGGATGGGATTGGCGTCTTGACGCAGTGAGTGGGCCCTGGCTGGGGCCAGAGTTGACCTGCTGAGGGACTTAGCAAGTCACTTCCCTGCAACCCACAGTGCTATCATTTATAAGATGGGAACACTAGTCCCTACCCTGCCTGCCTCACGAAGCAAGTGGGGAAGGGTGTACAAGAGCTTTGAAGAGAATCATGGGAAGACAGGGGGTCATTATGGCCTTAGTGAGCAATTCTCTGAATTCCCTGAAGACAAGAAGGGGAGAGCAAGAGACAGAAAGGAGCTGGGCTGTTTGCAACCCTGGTAGGGTTAGCCAGGCTTCCAGGGCTCTCAGGGAAAGACAGGGCGGGGTAGGGGAGACCAACCAAGGCCTGCAGTCCAGCCCTTACAGTGTGGCCCCTCAGGGATTGTGTGAGTCCCAGCCAGGAGTGCTACGATGGCCTGCCGGCCCCTCCGTCCGGGGAAAGTTCAAGCTCTAAGTCTCCTGGCATCTTGGCTTTCCTCTCTGCTCACTGAGGGCACCCCTCAGAGAGTCTGCGGTGTTTGCCCAGCAGAGGGGAAGTCTCCTGGGGTGGCAAGAAAAGGTGCTGCCAGTGGCAGGCCCCCAGGAGAGGGGGGTCTCTGATAGCATGAGGTCAAAGATCAGCTTCCAGTTCTTGAGAAGGCAGATGGGGTCCTCAGGTGCTCCCCAGCTCCAGTCCTGGCTCTGTCTCTGGGGTCACTGGATAAAGGGAAGTTAAGGAACGAGTAGAAACGACGGCGATGGCCTTAGAAAGCAGCCCAGCCTGGAGCTAACAGTTTTTGGGGCTGTTGCGCAAGTTTTTCAGTTCCAGCTGGAGCTGCCGAATGCGGATGTCCTTCTGGGCCAGCTCTTCTTTCAACCTCCGAATCTCATCCTGCTGCCGGAAGAACATTCGGAGGAGCTGGAGTGGATGAAGAGAGAGCCGTGATCAGCCCAGAGAGAGCAGGGGAGAAGGTGACTTTCCGACTGGGTGCCAGGTTCCCAGGCCCTTCCCTCCCAAGACAGCCCCTCTCCTTCTCTGCTAGGCCCTCCACTGCAAACTCGAACTAACCCGACTCCCATCTACAGCTCTGCCTTCCGCAGACTCCACTCATGGACAGGGCAGTGATACGGGGTCGCTGAGGAGGCAGGGAGCCCACGAAGGCCCGTTTTCAAATACCCCAGCTATAGGAGTCCAAACCTACTACTTTTATTTACCATTCCAGCTTGGTACCTTTCGAAAATGGGCTGCCTGCTCTCTTCTTAAGGGAGCTCAGGTTACATAGAGAATGGAATCCAATGTTTCACCTGCTGACTCAGGCCCAGCACAGGGTACCATAGTTGGCACTGGGCAGTGTGGCTCATCTGCCTAGATGGATGAGGCCAATGCACAGCTCTTGATGAACCTTCGCTTGGACGACTCCCTGAATTCACCAGCCTCTCCATTTTTTCCATAAAACAGACTGATAAGTAGGTGTCCTCCTGACACTGAGCCCCAGAAAGTAGCCAGACACTGGAGGACCTTCACACACTGAGTGGAATGTTACCAACTAGCAGTTGTGTTCTCCTCCAACTTCCTGGTATAAGTGGCGTTTGTTCTTGTAATTGCATAATTGAATTGAATGAAATAGAGGGATGGACATGAATACGAAGAGAAGTGCTGCTTCTCTTAAAACCAAGTTGGATGCTTTAGAACATCTTGATAAAAGTGAAGCTAGGGGCCTTCCCTGGTGGTGCAGCAGGTTGAAGCACAGCACTAAGAAGCTAAAGCCACTTCAGCATGCGTTCAATCCCCGCCCCGGGGGTGACCACATGGCGCGGCAGACCTCTCCTGACCCGCCCGCTGCTCCCCTCACTAGTGTGCTTCATCCATCTGCCTGTTCTGCTCCCCACTCTGTCTCTGGTGAAGCCTCTCGCCGCACCTGAGCCTCTGGCCTGTACCCAGTTCTGTAAGCACAAATAAATAAATCTTTAAAAAAAAAAAAATGGCTGCTGTTGTTGAATTAGGTGTGGGAGATATGGCCAGAAAGGATGGGAGAAATATTCTACATATTGATTGTGTGGCAGTAGTTACATAACTATCAAACTTCTGCATGTTTATCAAAACACATGCAAAAACACTTCTACTACAAAGGATGAATTTTCTCATAGGTAAGTTATACCTCAATAACTATAAGTAATATTAATACTAAACAATAATAATAAGTGGGAAATCTTTGAAAACAGTAGAGCTTTCTTTGAAGGTTGTGTTTCAGTTCTTATTCCACCTAAAGAAATGGAAACTGGAAATTGGAGCTAATAAGAATTAAAATGTGATTTAAATGCGAGAGATAGCAGATCCCAACTGGTGATATCCTTGAAGGAAAGGTCTTGTCCTGTCCCAGAATATGGTGAATGAATATATATGTTTTATGTTTTAAACAAAATGACATGGCTTAAGGAATATACATACCATTTTTATGTTTCCCTCTTTTAACTGACTTACTTATTTTTTTAACTTACTGAACTAATCATCCCTGGTTTCATTTGCTTAGAAGGACGATATGCTATTTGCCTTGATGCTAAATGACTCTTCACATTCTTGTGCCTCCCACATTTTCAAGATTTCTTTGTATAAGTTTTGGTCAGTTTTTAAAACAGCTTTATTGAGGTGTAAGCCACATACCATAAATCTCAGTCATTTGAAGTGTACCGTTAGTGGCTTCAGTGAAGTTACAGGCCTCTGTAACTCTCTCCTCTCCCTGGGTCAAACCACCAGTTGACCGTCCGCATTTAGACCATTTACAGTCTCATTTCCTAATTGGTTGCCTGTAATCTGCTGTGTTGATCAAAGTGCGGGTAACCCTGAAGAGCAGGCCCTCAGAGAATTTCTTCCCAACCAGGGAAGTCACAGGCTTTCATGTGCAGAGACTGTGGCACTGGTGCTTTCTGCTCAGAGAGCCTTTAAAATTTCCTCCAGGTTCTCTTGGCTAAAGGTTACTAGATTTCATTCTTATTGCACCTGGCTTCTCCACACTGGCTACTAGAACTGACCACAGGACCTTGTTTTGGCCCAGGTGGGTGATCCCAGCAACCAGGCACCTCTTCCAGGACACTTAAACATTGCTTGTAATGCCAAATACATACAAAAGTAGCACAGAACACACTATTCCACGTAGCTATCACCGAACATCCTGCATGAGCATGTGAGCTCTCTTGATTCAACTCAACTCCTCCCAGTTGCCCCTCCGTTACCCTCCTTCGGGATTATTTTGAAGCAAATCTGATTTATCACATGATTTCACCCAGCCTCAGAAATTGGAACATCCCTCGATAAGGGCACATAAACATCTTACACAGCAATTATTCTTTTGCCTGTTCATTTCTCCTTCAACCAATGAGAACCCAGACGTCAAGAATAGCTTTATTTTTATGAACAATAGCGACAATTGTAGGTTGGTGTGACCAGCGCATCTCAGGTGGCCCCTGTTATCCCCTCCCCTCAAGGGTGGCTGGACTGAGTCAGCAGCTGGCCTGAAATGAGCCGAATATGACAGAAGTGAGAGAATGTCATCCCAAAGATTTGGTAACACAGGCACAGGCTTCCATCTTGGATGCCCTCTCTTGCTCACTCCGTCCAAAGAAGCCAGCTACATTGTGAGCTGCCCTGGGAAGAGGCCCCTATGGCAGGACCTGAGGGAGGCCTGCAGCCGACTGAGGCCCTCAGTCAACAACCTGTGAGCAAATGAGTCTTGCCAGCAACCATGTGAATGAACCTGAAAGAAGACGCTCTGGCGGTTGAGCCTTTGGGTGTGACTGCCATCCCAGCTGATGGTTTAACTATACACCCTCCTGGGTGACTGAACTATAGGCACCCACAGAAACTCTGAAACAACAACTATTTTGGGTTTAAGTCATTAAGTTTTTGGGTAATTGTCAGATAGCCATCGATAGCTAATATAGCTAGCTACTTTGGGCACTGGATATGAGCCAGGGAGTGCCGGACCCTTAGGGATCATAGCACCTTCATGCTCACACCAGGTCATGTCCCATTGTACTAAGAGGAAATGGGTTTAGAAAGGTCAGAAAACTTGCTCAGTCACAGGCATCAAATGGCAGAGCCAAGCTGCAAATGCAGCCGGTTCATGCATCCTGCTCTATTTCAGCTGCATCAAGCAAAGAGCCTTTGCATTCTGGGAACAGGCTGTGCTGGCCTGTACTATCTCCGGGTTGAGAGTTGGAGGAGAACCTTCAGGGGCATGGTCAAGGTCCAGGTATGGATACCCTGCCTGGGTTGCTCCCATTCTACAGGGCACAAAGAGTTGATAAACATCCAGCCTCTTCCACAATAACAGGAAATTGTCAGACCTTGTCTCTGCTGCCACATCAGGGGGAAAGGCAGCAGGGTGATACACGAAGGCCCTCTGTCAGGAGGGATTTTCTAACTCCTGCAACACCAAATGGAGACATTCTGGAATGGAGATGTGAGAAGACACCATGAGGGTTAGTGACTTCGAGTGTGGGGTAGGGGCGTTGATGTTTCCACCATATCCCAGCCTCTATTTATTGGGGTCAGAGCAATGGATGCCAATGGCAGGCTACTTAAGGTATTTGTCACAGAAAGAAAAATGTCTTAGAATGGAGCCTGTAATTGAAAGGTAAAGGTCTCGCTCTTCCCAGGACTCTGAAGTTAGTAACTTACACTCCTTACCTCGTTCTCTGTCCTGGGTGGCACATTTTCTAATAAATCTATTCCATTGACCACGACGCTCTTCTTTTCCCTGATGGGAGCCTTAAATACCATTTTGGAGGATTTCTTGTAGCCTTCTTTCAAAGACATGAGCACGGGATCTGGGGAAGCAGGGAAAGTTCACGTTGGTGATTCGCTGGACAATGGACAGTGTCTTTCACTCGCACCTGCTTGACATTGGCTGGGGGTTGGGAAGGCCCTAACAGGAGGATGTGGGGGCAGTGGGCTGTGGATGCTTCTGTGAAGCCCACCCCCTGGTACCTCGGTTGATGCCTCCCAGCCATTCATCAGGGGTCAGAGCTGGCTCCGTGCCCGGCGTCATGGGGTAAATGTCTTCCTGGTAGGAATCCGACTGCGGAAGAGTGGACATGTGGGGGCTGCTGAGAAACCCTCTGCTTGACGGAAGCGTGTTCTCCTTGCAACCTTCAGCCCCACCCCGGCTTTCCTGACTCCATATTGCATTCACAGTGCCTCCCACTTCGAATTCCCACCCAGCGTTTGTCAGCAAACCCAACTGCCCCCACCATAGACTGTTCCCACCCTCACCCTAAACGGGGTTGGGTGACAACAGTCTACAGGACCTCTCTGGGCTCCTCAGGCTTACAATCAGTAAGGAGCAAGTTAGGGCTCAATGTGTGAGGAATGTGGGAGTCCAGCCCAGCACACTCACCCGCCGGGGCACAATCATGGAGATGGGCTCGATCAGGCCCTTGAGCGTCACCAGCTTGTAGAAGCGGAATACCTCGCAGGCTGACACATCCAGTCCGTGCTTGGGCATGACCCCTGTGGACAGCACAGACGGTTTCAAAGGGTCCCGGGGACTCCCAGCCTTGGTGCCCCTCCTCCCTGGGTTCTTGGCCAGGAATATCCTTGGCCACTTAGGCTTGGCAGCAATGACCCACACGAGGGCACTGGGTGAGGTTCTGGAGTCAGTATCTCTATCTCTGAGTGGCAGCTTCCCAGATACACCTCTTGGGCCAGACCTGTCTCACCAAGGTGCCCACTTTAGAATTAGGACCCATCAGAACTAGAAAGGCTTGTAGAAATATCTGAATCTGGTTGATGAGACTCCTGAGGGTCAGAGGGGAAGTGGCTTGCTCAAGGTCACAGAATACAGCTGGGGCAGGGCCACAGAGCCTGTCACCTTCTGAAAGGAATTGGCCATGCTAAGCTTCTGTGTTCCGGTCCTCATAGAGGAGGCAGAAATCCTTCCCCAGGCATTCCATGATTAAACGCAGCCTAGGGGTGCTGCTGGCATGTGTCTTGATGGTAGCAGCCCCTCATGCAATGGTTTGATGGGGGATTGAGTGAGAAGATGATTAATTTCCAGCATGGCAATGAACAAACACCACATTTGCTTCTTTGTGATGTGAACATGAATTCAGACGCTACCTTTCCTTTCCTCTACCTTGGAGATTGCTCTTCTAGATAAAAGAATTCCAGGAGCAGGAGGGGTGTAGAACAGTGGTACCCAAGTGGGTTTTGGAGCCAGCAGACCTGATTTTGAATCCCAGTTCTGCCATTTAGAATTCATGCTGCCTGTGGGGGTGAGTGCCCGACTTCTGGTGAATGCACTAGAGTGGCCACAGGTGAGGATGAGGAAAAGTTCTTCTTTGGTTCCTTCTGCTCCTGCAGTCCTGCTGATTCTACTTTCTAAACATCTCCTGAACTCGTCCTCTTCTTGCTTTCTTCGCGCCAGGTCTCTCACTCTGCCTACAAGTCCAACGTGGCCTCCCAGCTGTCTCTGCTTCTCTCCTGCCCGTTCACCCATTTTCCCCATTGAAGTCACAACAATATAAAAATAATATTTCAGAACACATTATGTATGTTGTTCCATCTCCCCCCCACCAGGAAATAGAAAACCTTCCAATGAGTTTCCACTAAGACCCACATTCCTTTCCCTCCATGAAGTCAAGTTCATGTGCCAGTGTTCTGTAAAGCAGATTGTCTTCTACAATGTGGTATGACCCAATCATTGGAAGATCTCAGTAGAACAACAGGAGGGAGGAAATTGCCTTTGTTTTCCTGTTTCACTGACTAAGCCGGGACAGCTCATCTTCTCCTACCTGTGGGCTGGTTTCAGCTCCCCTGTTTCTCAGATCTTCAGAGGTCCACGGGCTTTCATGGACCTGCAGCTTGTAGATGGCAGGTTGTGGGGCTTCTCAGCCTCCAGAATCACACAATCCATTTCCTTATAAGTTCCATACATATGTAAAAAATTTATATTTTCATTTCTGTTTCTCTGGAGAACCCTAAACAATACTTTCTGTGTCCTGTGGGACAACCATGTCTCCAATTTCATTTCCTAATGCTCGCTCCATCTCCCGCTATGTTACAGAGTTTGTGTGCTTAGTTAGTCACGTTGACCTCCATGCTCTTCTGGGAACATGACAGACTCATTCTTGCCACAGGACTTTTCACTGACTGTTCCTCCTGCCAGCACTACTCTTTTCCCTTCCTGAGTTTAAAATCACAGCTTAAAAATGTCACCTTCCATGACTACCTGGTCTAAAATAGCCCCAGTCACCCTCTTCTGCCGACAACTTGCTACCATCTGATATTCTCCTTACTTTGTTTATTGTCTGTCTCCCCCCAGTGGAATGTAAGCCCCAGAAGAGGCTGTATTTTGTATTTTGTATTATTTTCCACTGAGTCCAGGGTCTGGCACATAGCTAGAACTCAGTAGGTGTTTGTTGAATGATTATGTGAAGGAGCAGGAGGCGCCAAGGCTCTATACCTATGATCTTTAAGCTTTACAATGGCCCTACCAGGTAGGCTTGATTATCTCCATTTTGCAGATTAGAAAACTGAGACTCAGAGAGGTTACGTACATAGTTGTGCCAGAAGTAAACTAGGTCTGACTCTGAAGTCCATGCTACTTTTTATACTGTTTGATAAAGAGATGAGAGTGAAGAAGGTGGAAATGACAGCGAATTGAGGAAGGGTGAGGTCTTTGGAATGGTCATTAGAAGCCCAGGTAGATCTCTGGACGTTCACTTTGCCTTTGGTCACTGAGGTGGGTTCTCAGAACCTTCCAGCACTGCTGTTCCAGTAGCTGACCCTAGCTCTTTGTCCATAACACCAGACCCCCAAACAGTACAAGTCAGACTAGAACTCCAAAGAAAGGTCAAAAGAAAACCCCTGAGGAGATTTGGGAGCCAAATGGGGAACTGCTGAATCATTCCCACTTCCAGCGCTGGTTCACAGAAATGGGAATGTTGCTGTGCAACTTAGACTTTAGTGGTGGGAGAATATGAGGTATGAAGACCATTTCCCCTCACACTCACTATAGCCTGTCCAGCCTGGGCCCTCTCTAGGATTTGCCTGAAGACCTACAAGCCTGAGGAGGCAGTGTTGGGGGCCCCAAGGAACTTCCTCTGTCCTCTCCAGAAAGGACAGCACTGCTCCTGGGGACCTTAACAGGGACAGCACCTGTAGGCTCTATTCTGACTAGTCCGTGAGCTGTGGGTTTCTGAGTTTGGTTTTTCACTTAAAGCAGGAGTGGGATGTGACCCATGAGCCAAACGTCCAGTCTCTTGGACACATAACAGCCATGTAGCCGCAGGACCCCTTACCTAGGCCTTTCTGGGGGGCTGGGGAGCGGAACTCCATGAGGTAACTCAGGTAGGGCTTCTCAGTGCTGATCTCATAGTACCGGATGTTTCCATCTCCCTGGGGGCAAGGAGAGAGGGAAATGAGGAAGGTGGTGGCAGGGGTGGGGTAGGGCAGTGGCTGAGCAGGACTTGGTTCCAGGGCCCTGCTGAGAAATGTGTCTGCTGTGCCTCAGGTGTGGTCAAATGACCAACGAGACCTGGTCTCAACTTGGTGATAGTCATGGTGGTGGTGGTGGTGTGTGTGTATTTATAGATTACCCTTCTGACAAAACCAGATTTGCCAAAGATCTCCCACCTTCAGGCTTCGGTCTTTATTCCAGTCAACCTCAGTCACTGACACTTCAGTAAAAATGTCAGACTTGAGGTAGGTTTGTTTGTTTTTTTGTAGAAGAACTGGGGTATACAACAGCAGTGAGGGGGTGAGAAGATTCACCAGAGACAGAGCGGGGAACAGAACAAGGAAATTGACTGAGATACACTGCTGAGGAGAGCAGCAGGTGAGACAGGAGAAGTCTGGTGTGCGATGTGGGTCAGCTCCCTGGCCGGGACTGAACTCAGGCTTTAGCAGTGGTAGGACTAAAAATTAACCCCTAGGCCACCAGGGAAGAACTTCAGGTAGGTTTTGACAAGAGAATATGAGAGCAGAATGGGTTAAAGGACAGAGGGTTTAGGTTGGTTCTTCTTAGGGAATGGGACAGCGCAGGGGAAGAAAGAGGACAGGGGTCTCCCACAGGCCACTCAGCCCACCCACCCCCCGCCCCACCTTCTACTACCTTTCCAGCCAGGTAGAGCATGTGGGTATCAGCATCGTAGAAGGGGAACAGGAGACCGGACAGTCCGTCAATTTCTTCCTCAATCATGGGCATAGATAGGTCCTCCTGAAGACGGGGAGCAGGCCAGTGTCAGCCTCTTCCAGGCAGGCTCGTTCTCTGCCTGCTTGACCCCCAGCTAAGCATCCTATCATGTCAACTCCCGACCTCCCTGGCTGACCTGGTCCCAAAGGGCGATCTGTCTCGTGTTCCACCTGGAGACCCCTGTCGTGAGAAGTCGCTTCATGTTCCCCAGGAACACCACCCGATTCACTCTGTGGTTTTTGCAGTTGGCCTCCTGCAGGGACAGAAAGTGCTGGTGAGCCAAGACCTTCTGTCACTGGGCTGTGTGGGGACCTCAAAGATAATTCCCTGTCTTAGTCCTCGGAAACTAAGAATGTCTCCCGATTTGGAAGAGGGTTTTTGCAGATGCAAGTTAAGGATGTTGAGATGAGGAACTTCCCCTGGACTATCCCAGTGGGCTCTAAATGCCTCCATGCACGCCCCTGTAAGACATAAGCCAAGGGAGATTCCTTGGACACAGAGGAGAAGGGATTTGAGTCATAGGCAGGGAAAGGTAAGTGATGGGGTCACAAGGCAAGGCAAATGGCAGCTGCCAGAAGCGGGAAAAGGTGAGGAAGGGTTCTTCCAGACCTCTGGACAAAGTGCGGCCCGTCAATACCCTGACTTCCTATCTCTGCTTTCCAAAACTATGAAAGCATCAGTTTCCTTTGTAAGCCACCTGTTTGTGATTTGTTACAGCAGCCACAGGAAACGAGTGCAGGAACCCAGGTCCCCCCACCATGTACCGAGCAGCAGAGCTGGTGAGAGCAGGGAGGGAAACCTGAGACCAGCCAAGCCTCCAAGGCCTGTCTCTTTAACCTTCATCACAGCACCCACTGCAGGAATCTCTGAGGACAAGGAGCCTGAGCTGAGGGGGACAGGGGACTTGCCCTCATCCACCCTGCTAGTCCACTCGTTCCTCTGCAGCTCCTACCTGGACCCCCTCTCCTGCCTCTTCCTCCTTTGCTAGGGTAAGTCAGCATCGGATAGAACCAGAGGCTGCCACAGAGACCTGATGTCACTAGCTCTGGATTTTAACTCAAGTTGCACCAAACCAGGGGTCCCTCTCCCATCTGTGGGTGGAGGCTGTGAGCTCTGCTCTCCCACAGCTCTGCTGCTCTGTATGGGCCCAGCTGGCGGGGTTTGAATTCTAACTCCTCAAGTAACTGAGGTTCAAGTCTCTAACTGCTCTCCAAGGCTCTCCAAGGCTCAGCGTTTCCATGTGTGATAGGGGGAGAGTATGACAGGCCCACTCAGAGGCTGTCATGAGCATTAACTGGGGAGCCCTGGGGCAGCCTCGGCGGTAAGCGGGAGGAATTCAGCCCTGCAGATGTGAATGACTGCGGTGATTAGTGTCTGCAGCCATGGTGGTGGTAGATTGTCACCTGGTCTTGCAATACTGGACTCTTACAGGGGAAACATAGCTAGGTCAGGTGTCAGTCCCTCGTTGTGGAGAAGGGAACCTCAAACTTCACGCAAAGTTTCCATCCCACCTGACCCTGGGACAGGCACACATTTGGTGCTCAAGAAATATTGGCTTCTTATGCCCAAGTGGCATCTTGTTCTTTCCTCGTATAAAAACCCAGGGGACACAAGCCCAAAGCTGCAGCTAAGTTCACATCCCTGGGGCAGGCACCCTGAGCCACTTGCCCTGGCTCATCCCACAAGGGTGGCTGGGCAGGGTCCCAAAGTCCACTTTGCCTGTGCCCAGGAGGGGGATGGGCAACTCCCAGCAATTTCAGGCAGTGAAGCATGTCACCCATTCAGCCCCCAGGGCATGCTATATGAACCCCATTTGGGGCAGGGGCATCGAGGGGGCAAGAAAGGGGACTGAGGCTTGCACTGGAACAAGCCAGGACTCCTGGGAGCCAGAGCCAAGGAGGGTGTAGGTCAGGTGCCTGGGGGGAGGGGAGCCGGCACTGCCTTGCCCTCCAGACCTGGCTCAAAGTCAAGCCCCAGGCACCAGCACCTTCCCTTCCCCTGAAAAAGTGGGGGCTTGACCTGCAGCACGCGGCCAGAGCGGGGCTCGATCACACGCAGCTTCTTGTCCTTGCACGTGGTGGTGAGCAGGCTGCCGTCGGTGTTGAAAGACATGCAGAGGATCACGTCTGAGTGGCAGTCGATCATCTTCACCGGCTCACCCACGTCCAGGTTCCAGATGAGGACCTGATAAGCAGACACGCAGAGGTGGGCCAGCCTGCTCGGCCATGACAGGTGTCTGCCCTTCCAGGCACCTCTGTCAAAGGCCGATGCGTCCCCACCCACAAATCTGCGGCTATCCCCAGGCGCCACAGCCTGGCCTGGGGCCCAGTTCCCTTGAGCAAGGATGAGTGCTCCTTGCCAGTTTCTGTGGCTGGCACACCTTTTGAGGGCAGGCCTGGGGTGAGGGGCCCGGGTTCATTCTCCTTCCCACTGCAGTTTTGGTTGCCCTTTCTCTCTAAGAGGGCAGCAGTATTTCAAAGATATAAAACCGGGCAAGAGTGTGTCCAGGGCATGCGCAGTTTTCCAGTCCATCAGCACAAGAGGGGCAGGAAAGCTACCTCTGGTCTCTCTGGACCCTGGGAATGACCGGGCCACAGGAGGTGCTCGGTCATGTGTTGTGAGAGAATGCATGAATGAATCCACCAACATGGCCATCTTGGGGTACATGCTCAGGGCAGTGACAGTGCTTCCTCTGGGCCCCTGAGATGTCTTCTCACTCCCTCCTACCGCCTCCCAGCCTGAGTCGGCTCTGGCCACAGCTGCCCTCCCGGCGACCCACCTTGTAGTCGTAACCCGCGCTGAACAGGATGTTGTTGGTGGTGGGGTGCCATTCAACCAGCCCCACACGCCGGCTATGCCCGTGCAGCTCCAGGAGCGCCTCTGTCATGTTCCGCTTCAGCCCACCCTCGGGGATCTCCCAGATCCGTACCTGCAGAGGGCACCGAGGGCCTGAGCATGGTTGCAGCCAGGAGACGCCCTGAGGTCCGCTCCCCAGGACCCCAGATTGTCGGAGATGTTCTCAGCAAGGTCCCTCCGGACCAAGGCAGGCAGGAGAAGAGACCATCTCTCCTTTGCCTTTGGGAGGGTTTTCTCCCACAAGTCTGTGCTGCCCCGAGTGATTATGACTGCTGTGGTGACGCTCCAGCCAGGCCCACCACTACTTGTTCCCATCACAAGTCTGCCTCTGCTTCCTTCCCACGCCCTCAGAGCTCACCTTCAGCCCCGACCCCTCTGTTTGCACTACATGACCTTGGGCCCCACCCCAGCTATCACCCAGATTGGACACCTGAGCAGAGGGAAGCCCATCTGGGAGGCCCAGAGTCCTCCACAGAATGAGCTAAAGCAAGTGGGTTAGAGCTTGGCTTCTGAGCAGGAAGGGTGACAGTCTGGATGCAGCCGCTATTTCAGACTTGTGGATGCTGACAAAGAAGCAGGGGGAGAGTGGCCCCCCCCCCCCCAGAAACTTTCTTTCTCTTCAGGCTTTGAGTAGAATAAAATAAGGGACTGGGTGTGAAAGCTTATAAACTGTAAAGTGCTCTAAAGAACTAAGAAATTAGAGTTCATGTTTCAGTTGCTATTATCATCAGTGCTACTTACTATGACCTAGCAGGGTGAGGAAAGGGAGCATGTGACAACTCAGGATACCTTTAAAACAAACCTTTTTGAAAATCTGAACTCCACCCTTGCTAGTATGGAGAAAAACAGGAAAAACAGCTCTGGGTTACCGTTTGTACTCTTCTAAAATAGCCAAGTGAGGGGGAAAAAAAAAAAGCCAGTTTCAGCAAGATTATACAGGAACTTGTAGATTCAATTGGTGTTGGCAGTATTATAAACCAGAGTAACTCTTTTGGGAAGCAATTTGTCAATTTTTAATGGGAACCATGAAGACATTATATTCTTGACCTAGTAATTTCATTCTTTATATCTAAAATAAGCAAAAATCTTCAGGCATGAAGACATTTGTTACAGCATGGAAAATAGAGAAACACCCCAAGTGATCAATATTAGGGGGAACAATTTAATATGGCAGATCAGAAGAGAATACAGTCCCATTATAGTTATGAATAAGGTTATGAATACATTGGGAAGTGTGTCAAAGAGCGATAAAGGGAGTTCTAAGGACTGGGAATGGGGTCCCCCTAATTCCCTTGGCAAATTTCCCTTTCTGGTACTTTCCCCTCAAACTAAAGAAATGGATATTTCCCACACATTTGTTTCCCCCAAAGTCTGAGCCCCACACATCAGACACAGGAGGCTTTGGGGCAGGAAAGGCAGCTTGAATTAAGGATTATGGGCCTCGCCCTTTGGTGCACCCTCCTCAATTTCAAAAACTCACTCGGGAAAGCTTCTAATCAGGCCTAGCTCCATGTTTTCCTGGCCTCGTTGCCATGGCCTTTGGCTGCCCCATGTCCATGGTGGCAAGAGCTAGGAAGGGACAGGACACAGGGAGCTGACACAGGGCTGTCGCAGGGGTTTTCCTTCATGCACTCTGTACATGGACATCCAGAAATGAGGTCTGATCTAGGAAGAGAAGTTGCAGTGGGGACCAGGGTGAATGACCCAGAGACGGCCAATAGGACACTCTTTGCTCTAAATACAGGAGAGGAGGTGACCCTTGAAGTGAGGAGACTGATGGTTAGTTAGACACATACCTCGCTCCCACCAAGCACACACGCATGCACACACACACACATCACACCCATACCGCAGTCCCAAACTCAAGATCTCTTCCTACCCCTCACATCCCGCATACCTCCACAGCACCAAACTCCCCTCCACCACACTCACCTGCTTTCCCTATACATCCCAAAACTTCCACCTCCTTCACACACACCACACCCCAAACTCCCCACCCAAGGCTTCCTCATACAACCCCTTGACATTCCTTTATACCCAAAGAGATGCTATTACACATACATATTTCTCTGGAACTTGCTTTTCTCCTGTCACAGATGGTGGGCACCTTTCCATACCACCACCTTTGTGTCTGCTTTATTTTTTCAAGTGGCCAGAAGGGCATCTGGATATGACTGTGCCACAAGGGGTGACTCCAGCTTCTGCTGGGCATTGCCCATTGTTCACCAGGACAGTCTATCCATGACTGATAGCTCTATAACTCACGTTTGTGCATGGGTGTGAGCATTCTTAGGGAACAGAGGCTTAGAAGAGTTTTATTTTTTATGGGCCCTCCCTGGTTGTACAGGTGTTAAAATGCAGCACTATGAAGCCATCGGCAGTCACTGCAGCACGAGTTCGATTCCAGACCGGGGACCTGACCCACATGGCACAGCAGACCTCTCCTAACCCACCCACAGCTCCCCTCAGCTGTGTGTTTCAGTACATCTGCCTGTTCTGCTCCCTACTCTGTCTTTGGTGAGTCCTCTCATCTTCCATACCTCTGGCCTGAACCTCAGTTCTTGTATGCATTTTTTTTTTAAAGAAGAGTTTTATTTTTTAAAATAGTGACTGCAAAATTGTCCCTAAAAGCTGTCCTGGTTTTCACCAACAAAGTCTGAGAGCACATCTTTGCCTGTGTTTCTAACATGATGTTTAAGAGTGAGTTTTGCCCCTCCAATAAACCTTACAGAATGCCCTACCCTGTTGTTTAGATTTGCATTTCTTTGATTCTTAGAAATACTGGGTATCTTTTGGCCAGGCTCTGAGCCACCCTTGTTTGCATTTGAGGAGGAGGCACTGGAAGCTTCCAGATTAAAGAGATGAGGCAGATGGCGGGCCAGCGTGGAGGTGTCTGGAGCAGAATGCTGTCTGCGGACATTCTAGCACGCTGGCACAGGGACATCAGGCAGTCAGTGCTGAGGAAGCTCCCTAAACAGCAAGTTGGGCCACATTCATCTCCCCACACCTCTGCTGAGCCAGGTCCTTGCAGCCAAAGAGATGGTCACTGAGCTTGCCTTGGCTTCTGAGCAGCACAAAGTGGGGTGGTAAAGCAGGGGACCCTAGTGTACACAGAGCTGGAGGAGCTTCGAATTCATCCTTGGAATAGGCGCTAGGATGAAAGAGTCTGGGAGGAACAGTGTTAAAGGTGGCATGTTGATCCATGTTTGAAAAGGCAGGTGGGGAAGGTGGACAGATCACGGAGAATGTGGGTTGGGGCACAGCAGGCGGGAAACCACAGGCAGGCCGGTCTGGCTGGTGTGGAGCAGGCAGGCACGTGGCAGAGGTGACCAGAGGCTGGCCGTGTCATCTGGGCACCCCCTAAGACCCAAAGAAGCCCTGCTTGAGCTGAGTATCAGGAAAAACCTTCCCCCATTACCATGCAAGCCAGCTAGTGAGATGTCCTTGGCCCATGACTTGCTGTGTTACGCAGAGACTAGAGGAAGCCGTGGCGTGAGAACCCACCCAGGCTCTGGCCCCACCTACGAGGTGGATGACCTTACACAAGCCAGTTGTCCTCTCCCGGGCGCAGGCGTGTGGTTGGCAGCCCTGTGGAGGCAGGTGCCTTCAATTCAACTGGGCTCAGGGCTGTGGGAGCTGGAAAATTTGTAGCCACTTGAGCTGCTTTGTTGGGGTGACCGCTCTGCCTAGGAACCTGGGGGCTAAGCCAAAGTCACGAGAGGCCAGGTCCAGGTCATGTTTATGCTCCTGGATGTGACTCCTCAGGAGCCCAAGGCAGCAGGGAGCCCAAAGAGCTGTTTCACCAATAACTTAGATGTAGGCCCCAGACAGTGCCCTGGAGACCCTGATAAAAATGCTCCCCAGAAAGGGAGAGGCACCTTGCTTTTTCTTTACTGCCTTCTCGGACCTCAGGTTTTCTCATTTGCGCATTAAAACCATATTCGCTAGTCTTCTACAGTCTTCCAAAGTTCTTGCTTTGACATTCCTGGGAGAAGAGGGCTCTGCTCTCCCCACCCTTCCATACCACACGCTGTGACGGCACAGAGGGGCTCCCTTCACAGTGGGCCTACTCAGCTGGAAAAGGCATTCCAGCCCCTAAGTGTCCGAAGGATTTGTTGAAAACAAAGAGGGGATGGGCGTGGGAGGAGCGCTGTGGATCCGCCCAGGGCTTGCTCTGGGAGGTCACTCAGATCCAGCAGGAAACCGGTAAGTCTGCCAAAGCGGATTTCTGGAAGGAAGGGGTGGGGAAAGTGGCAAAATTCTCTCTCTAGCAACCAGCAGTGCGTGGACTGTCCCCCACTTGGGTCTCTAGGTCAGAACCCAGCTTCCCTCAGCTGCATTCAAGCCAACAGAGGACGCTTAGCCTCTCCCTGTGTGCACTTGTGGCTAAGGCAAGGAGGCATACGAGTGTTGACACAAGGTTGTGCAAGTCTTCCCTGCGCAGTGCAGTAGGAGGGAACGGCTGGCTAACAATGGGAACTTTGTAACCGACAAGTTGTTCAGATCCAGGCACTGACCTTTTTGGCTGTGAGATTGCTGCCTAATTACTTAGCCTCTCTGGGCCCCAGTGTTCCATCTGGAAGGGTGATTATATCTAGATAATAGAGTTGCCACGAAGACTAAATAAAGATAAAATATATATCCTACCAAGCAGAATGCCAGGAACTTAATAAAATTTAACCACCGTGGGGATTATATACAAGTTTTAAAAAAGTCAAATTTTGGAAGTGTTTATGGTTTCCATGTGTACACTGTTGCCCCAGTGTGATCAGTATACGCAGCACAAAGTTGGTCTCCGTTTTATGGAGTGGTGCATACACCTCCTCTTTTCAGTTATGATCGGTTTATGCAGGTGTGGTCAGAGCTCTGCTTTTGGATATACTGAAGGTCATGGCTGCTGTGACGTAGAGCCAGGGCCTAGAGAGGGTCCTAGTAAGCAGTTCTGACCACACTTCCTGGGGGGAAGAATGCTTCTTTTAGGGAATCTGCTTCTTGCACAGATACCGCAAGCAGAAAGTGTTTGGTGTCTGTCTATGGCGGCCTAGAGGAGGAGCTGAAGTTACAGTGGCCCTA